ATGGCTTTCATCCTACCATTCTTCCGTCAGTATCGCCTTCACAGGGTATACAGACGGTTGATGAACATGTTGCCCATCTGAGAAAGTTGTGGGATCAGACTCGTCAAATTCTTATTCAAAGTTCCGCGGTATTCAAACTGCACGCTGATAAACGTAGAAGGGCTGCTCCTGTTTTTTACCCGGGTAATAAGGTATGGTTGAGTACCAGACACATCCGCTTGCAGGTTCAATCCATGAAGTTCGCTTCTCGCTACATAGGACCTTACAAGGTCTTAAGGAGGATTAACCCAGTTGCTTATCAACTTGCTCTTCCTCCTGCTCTATGAATCCCTAATTCCTTTCATGTCTCTTTGTTGAAACCTCTTGTTTGTAACAGATATTCCTCTTTGGTCTCTTCTCCTTCTTCAGTCCAGGTTGAGGGTCAGGAAGAGTATGAAGTCAAAACTGTTCTGGATTCTCGTATTTCTCGTGGGAAGTTACAATATCTCCTTGACTGGAACGGCCATGGTCCTGAGGAAAGGTCCTGGGTGGTTCATGAGGATATCATGGTGCCTGTTGTATCTGCCTCAGAGGAGGTCAGGCATCTGGACGTTGTCCCTCGTGATGGGGCATGTGCACCCGATCATTTCAGTTATTTTGGGCGTTTACACGCTGGCCGCGATAGCCCGCCTCCTTCTATGACGCGGCGCTCGATAGCCGGCGTCATGACGTCAATGACGTCACAAACCGCCAAAAACTTCAAATCAGGACATTTTGGGGGCGTGGTCATCAATTAAGGAACCAAGGTATAAAAGAGACTCATTTACAATGAGTCATTGCCCTATCGTGGTTCTAGCTTGTGTGGTCCCTCAGTGCTCTTATCACTATTGTTTATTTGGTTCTTGACTTGGCTTTCTATTATCAACTTTGCTACCTTCTCCTACCCTTGTACTCGGCTTGGCTTTCGCTTACCTGTCTTCTCGTTCCCTTGTCCCTGACCATTCTTTGTCTTGTCTGATGTTAGTCCGGTATACGTACCTATTGCTGTTTGCATTCTGCGTGTTTGATCCCTGTCTCGATCCTGACAGTGAGTCCCCATACCACGATCGCTGGGATCAACGACGACCGGGTAAGCCACTCCCCATGCAGCGCCAACTGTGCAGCCCTCAGCCAGGAAGCACTTCCAGTGACCCTCTGAGGAGTGGCCCCCTGGAGGTGTCCATAGGGGAAATTTAAACACTGCCTTTTCTCTGAAAAGGCAGTGTTTGCATAGAAATGCCTGAAGACAATGATTATACTCACCAGAACAACTACATTAAGCTATAGTTGTTCTGGTGACTATAGTGTCCCTTTAAACAAAGTCTTTTAATTTAGGTTTCTGCCCAGGTCAGGTTCTAGAAACTGTTTTGTGTTTACATTGTTCATGCCCGTCAATCTCTCTTATTTACCAGTGCTATGAGTACCATTGAATTTAATGTTTCTTAAAAAAAAAAAAAGAAAAGGAAAAGTCTTGGGCATACAAAATATTTGTCAGCATATTTTGAAAGCTGATGCCGAATGTGAAATATATTCAGTAACTGAATCTATTTCAGCATGGAGCCCCTGATTGCTGTCTGTCTGAGAGCCAATAGTAAGAATGGAGAATGCAAGGCTTCTCCCTCTCCCTTTTACCCACTCTCCTGTTCCCCATCCTTCACCTCACTCCTATTTCCTCTCGTATTATCTTTTCATGCTCCTAGCAACTGGGGACATCTCCCCTAACACTGACCCTGCTCACTTTCATCCTTTCCCCCCCTAGGAACCCTGCTAATACCATACACATTCAATTTTGCCCCACTCTGCTACCTCTTTTCATTGCCCTGTCTGGTATGCTTGCACTGTCTGTGGTAATATAACAAACGTAGAATAAAGACAATATATTAATGTATGTCAGTTTGACCCAAGCAGTATGTGACAGCACATTCAACAGTTATAATGGTTGCATTAAAAGAAACCATGTATCACTTTAGCAATACATCATTTAAAGGAGCAATTAATGTTGGATTCCTACAGGTGTACCCTCTTTCTCACCAAAAAAATTTACTTTGCCTCCCTCTTCTCCACCTTCTTACATGATACCAAACTCAAACTTATAATTTATTATACACCCCACATAATCTTTCTCTTCTACTTATCTCACTTGCATCGTGTTTCACAAAAAAGATTGACAATATCCAAAAAAGAAATAGCCTCACTTATTTTGCCCCTCAACTATTTGATCCTTTGCCCAGCCTCCTGCCCTATATTTAGTATCTTCTCTCCATTTCATGAAGAAGAGGTTTCTGCACTTATGCTTTCTTCCTGCCCTATCATGTGTCCCCGTCATGCCATTCTGTAGCACCAGGCTTTCTCAATTACGACTGTCTTGCCTTTGACTAAAATCTTCTTCCCTCTTTTGACACTGTTAACAACCCACGTCTACTCCTCACCCTTCACAATCTCGGCCACAGTGACACTGTTCTTTCCTGGTTCTTTTTCTGTCTGTCTAAATGCTTTTTCAGTGTCTCTTTTTCTGGTTCCTCATCACCTCTTTTGGAGTTCATCAAAGCTCTGTACTGGGAACTCTTGTTTTCTCAATTTACACAGCCTTTGTTGATGACCTAACGTCATCCTTTGCCTGTATCAGGGGTGGGCAACCTTCGGCACTCCAGATGCTGTTGACTACATCTCCCACAATGTTCTTACAGCCATAATGCTGCAAAGCACCATGGGAGGTGTAGTCCAAAACATCTGCAGTGTCAAATGTTGTCTATCCCTATACTATATGTACCTCTTCTCACCTAACCTTTCTCCCCATCTGCATGGATCATGTCTCTGACTGGATAACTTCGCTATTCATAAACTATTCTCCTAACGATACCTCTGTCCCTGTTTCTTTCCAGGTCAATGGACAGCAAAAATGTTGTCTTGGTGTGCTGTTTGATTCTCTTAATGTGCTGTTTTATTCTTGCCTTTGTTTCACTGCTTACATAAAATCAATTACAAAATCCTGTTTCTTTTATTTTAAAAATTTCTTGCCAAAATGCTTGTCCATGCTCTCTTTCTTATCTTGTTTTGCTTATTGGCCCAAAATGTCCTCTATCTTTCATATTTCAACTCTAAAACCTCAAACCTGAGTCAGTCTCTACACTGACTTCCTGTTTAATTTATGTTCAAAGTACTTTCCATTATTGCACTCCTGCATATATCTCCCTCCTGCATTAGCAGATATATTCAAACCTGGCCTCTTTGTTCCACAAACGGCCTGTTATTATTTTGTTCTTGTATCATGACACGAAAATAACACCTGCAAAACTTATCTAGGGCTACCTCCTCCTTATGGAATGCCCTCCCACACCACATTTGAATCACACAGTCTCTGCACACTTTAGAGAAGCCGATGAGCTTCCCCCTTAATGCCACATTCCTTACAACCTTCTTCTGTTGTCTCCCATCTACTGTGCTCACTTCTCCAAAATATCCCTCCCATCCTTTCAGGTACATACAGGTCATTTGATTCCCTCACTGTCTTTGTCCCTCATCCTTTTAGATTGTAAGCTCATTTTGGGCAGGACCCTTTTTCATCTACTTTTCCCGTATGTGAAACATGTCTTGTTAGAATTTTGCAGAATATGTTAACTCTACATCCATAATTGTAATTATAATAATTTGTTCTATATAATGTAATTTAAGGGGCATTCCAGTTATCATTGTTACAGCTAATTGTAATGCATATGGTGTAGTCCCTCTTGTGTTTGTCAAATTGTCTGCCAGATTCTCTGGCACCCAAACCTACCCCTTTAGCTTTGAATGGGAAATTGAGGAAGTTCAGTTCTAAATTATTTGTCAAAAGCAATTGTGTGGATATGGTTACAGGTTCACACGGATATAGAAACTTGTGTTGGTTCATCTGCACCAGAAGGTTTATCAGCAATCCAGCGTTGCTGTATCCTGGTTACTTGTAAAAATATTTTAGACGAATAATGAGGATCATATCCCAAATGAAGAGTGGGCATCGAATGCCTCTGTATCTGTTTTTTCTGTTTGAAAATATATTGACAGAAAACTGAGGGCAGGCAACCATAAACTTGTTGCAACATAACCGATACAAGCTGTAGTGGTTATGATGTCTGTTAGTGCCCTTTTTATTCTGACATTCCTGATATTGTTACAACATATTTCATATTTGTTATAAATACTTCACAAACATTATACAAAGAAGCAATGACTGTGCCATCCATTTCAATGATAGAATGTATCAATAATAGAATTGCATGTAATGATAGAATCTACTTAGTGTTCCAGATTTCTATATTGCTCTGCATATTCTAGCTGGGCTGTTTCTTCTGATCAATAGTTAATGTATGCATAACCTTGTTATTGGCCAGATCCTTGGTCTCCCTGCCCCCGGCTTGGCTCTCGCTGACATGGTTGCTCAGGGTTACATCTTAGTTGTGCCATGAACCATAATGCAATGTGTTGCTGCAGTCAGATGGTGGTGCATGAGCAGTGCACAAAATAAGAGTAAAAGGGGTATGATTTAAAAGAAATAGGCAAGTACATAGGAAGAGAGGGGAGGGCCATTGAGAATGGTGGGAAGATGTCATTCCCACAGACTCTTCTGTGACAGATGATAGGCATGCATTTTACCTAAATAGAATTGTGTGACAATGCTTTTAATTGTGTCTCTATTTTTGTACTTGTTCAAGCAACAATCCACAGGTGACACACCTGCCCCCTACCAATTAGTTTCATAATAAAAGTATCAATATATCATAAATGCTGTGCTCTGTTGAAGGCATAGTTGGTTGCTGTTTGTGTGTTTCCTATATTATATGAAAGAATGTCACAAGTGTGTGAATGGAACTTTGCTTAAAGCGAGGTTCAGTGTGCAGGTTATAGCTGAAATGTTACATTTCTGTGTCACTTGTTTGAGCTGCCTTTTTTATGTGTATGAGTTTCAGAGGAGTGCTGTATTTGCCTGACATGTCACTGTACATGTGTCACTGTACCTTTGTCTGCACATCCTGGGGGTTCCAGTCAGGTCTTAGTTCATGGATGAGTCTTAAAGCTCCTGGAATGACATTCTGTTCATCCACAGAAATGCTGAGAGAGCGCAGCGTGGAACTGTCACTTTGGGAGTGCAGCATGCAGCTGTCAATGTGACCCTGCTCTTCACCCATCCCCTCTTTGCTGTGAGACCTGGGCCCCCTCCTCAGGTGGGAAATACCCACAGGAGGGGGTGTGAAACACAGGACTTGACACCCAGGGTTTTACCCCCCTCCCTGCAGAGGCAAAGAGAGAGCTGACTGTGGGAGGATAGAAAGGAGGAGAGAAAGGGAACTGCCCTCCTACAATCTGATGTCATAAACACTGGACTCAGTAGACTGATATCACTCTGTAAATTTACTGTTATGTTGAGACTCAAGTGTATACAGTGACAGTCTGTTCTCTGTGTCACTTTCTCTATATGGGAGGGAATACTGAATGTTGAGCAAATGCCAAGCACCATGACCCTTGCTCTTAACAGGGGCCCAGCTCTGCAGTTTGTAAATAAATTACCATTCATAAACACAGTCTGTAACATCAGTGGCAATATGTTTTCCTTTTCAACAGTGCTATAGATTTTTTTAAATGACCGTTTTAACTTTGCTTTATTGTCTTGATTTGTCAATACACTGGTGTTCTTATGTTGTTTCTTTTTCAAGGTGTTTTCTTTTTTTAAACAAGCTAGTTTTCGTTCACAAACACTGCAGATTTTTAGACCCTGTTTACAAAAACACCAGTGGGTATTTCACTTTAAAACGTCTCCAGAAGATTAGCTGTGAATGTTTGTGGCAAAGCCTACCGTGTTTCTCCGAAAATAAGACCGGGTCTTATATTAATTTTAGTCACAAAAAACACACTAGGGCTTATTTTCAGGGTAGGGCTTATTTATTTACGGTACCGGTATGTACATTGAACCCCCCCTTTAATTAATCCACCCCCCTTTAATAAATCCACCCCCCTCTAATTAATCCACCCCCCTCTAATTAATCCAGCCCACCCTTTAATTAATTCACCACCCCTTTAATTAATTCACCCCCCTCTAATTAATCCAGCCCACCCTTTAATTAATTCACCACCCCTTTAATTAATTCACCCCCCTCTAATTAATCCAGCCCACCCTTTAATTAATTCACCACCCCTTTAATTAATTCACCCCCTCTAATTAATCCAGCCCACCCTTTAATTAATTCACCACCCCTTTAATTAATTCACCCCCTCTAATTAATCCAGCCCACCCTTTAATTAATTCACCCCCCTTTAATTAATTCACCCCCTCTAATTAATCCAGCCCACCCTTTAATTAATTCACCCCCTCTAATTAATCCAGCCCACCCTTTAATTAATTCACCCCCCGCCCCCTTTAATTAATTCAGTCCCAGACATAAAATATCTAGCGGTACTCACATTTCAAAGATTCCTTGCCGAGTCCGACCACTGGGAGCCTCACCGCCCGGAAATGGATCCTTCCGCTGAAGATCCGTGAAGGCAGACTGACGGCGCTGCGAAATGTCGTCATCACGTTGCGCGATGCCGCGGCCCGCAACGCTCCTCCTACAGTAGAAGAAGGAAGTCTCGCCGCAAAGGTACAATGCCTAGGTCTTATTTTCGGGGTAGGGCTTATATTGCAGCCCACCCCGAAAATCCGACTAGGGCTTATTTTCGGGGTAGGGTTTATTTTCGGGGAAACACGGTACTAATACTAAAGCATACTAACCACCATTACCACATTCGCGAAATGGACAACAAAGCCATGACACTTGCTCCCGGGCTTCAGTGTCAATTGGCTCAAAAACTGGTTTGACTCAAAATCAAATGGCACTAAGGGCATTACAATTACTGCTAGCATCATAACTATTACATCACACTGTTGTGCTGTTTTTACATATGAACATGAAAATTTTCATGTGCGCACTTATTATAGACCCTCCCTCCATAATATACTCAATTATATTAGTAGTAAATGCTTATATATATATATATATATATATATATATATATATATATATAGAGAGAGAGAGAGAGAGAGAGAGAGAGAGAGAGAGAGAGAGAGAGAGAGAGAGAGATAGATATATTAGGGATCAACCAGTATCACAGCCTTTCGTGATGATAACTGTGGCGGACCACCTGGTCCCCTGACTGGGTATCTCCGCCAAGCACGCTCCCTAGTTATCCCCGGGACACAATAAGCACTTTCAGCCCCCAGGCCGCCGCAGCTTGGCCGGTGTCTCGCCGTTTCCTTCCACCCTGGATCAGGGTCCTTGATCCAGCTCCCTGTGGTCAGCGCTCTCCTCCAGAGAGTATAGCTGTTAGTGATTATCGCTACATAGCCTTCCCCCCCCACACATTAGCCGAGACTTAATGCTGGGAGTGAACTGACTTTAATGGGACAGGTACAGCCAATTTATACACAGACCAGGTCTCCATTGTCTTCGCCACATACCCCTCCCAGGAATCTGGGGAGATAACTGCGTTAAAGACCGGTAAGCTAATCTCCCAGGAACAGAGAGGCAAACATAAAAATATAAAAAATAAAAATACCCAGGGGGCGGAGCCAGACTTCCATGCAGAGCAGAGGTGCTGTGCCTGAGCTCCTAAGAGTTTTTCTACATCTGAGGGGATATCCCTCGGTTAAAGAACAACTACGTCCAAGCACGGGCACTATCCAAGTTGGGGGATTCCTGCTGACTATCCTGAACCTCGAACGGTGCTTCTACCCCACCGGAGATCATGTCTCTCTGTTGCGGCCTACGGGGGATGGAGCTGGGCATATGCGGCTGATCTCCTCACTTCTGAGACCCCGGTCTAGCTCAGCTATACTCCTACCTCGCCCTTGGACTGGTGGGGGATATCCTGGTCCCCACTGGACACACGACCTTATTTACTCTGTACTCCAAATGGAAATTAAGCACTAGGTAATCAAGACGGCGACTGCCCTATCGTCCTACAAACAGGGCCTACACGCGCATCAATGTCAATCAACTGACCTCACCTTGTAGCACCTGGATGCAATATTCCAAAGCTTTTAGCAGAAGGTAGAGGAGCGTACCCAAGCTTCTGTGACAGAGCAGTGGAAGGTTGCGCACATCAACAAGCCATCGGAACGGAGTGTTCCTCCTCAGGGAGACAGTGCAAAGCAAGCTCCCAGTCGCAAAGACGCTTGTCTACCCAGGTCAAGAGCTACTCAAGGCCTCCCCATCAAGCATCAACCATTGAAGTGGAGGAGCAACTGCAGAAAGCTGCACAGACCATCCAGACTCCCTGCTTGCCCCAGAGGGAAGACAACCTTGGTATCTAAGAGGGTATGAATTGGATGATCCTGGGACTGCACCTATATTCTGAATCTTGCTCCAGCAGCGGCAGCAGCTGCATACCCAGATGCCTTTGCATTGCTTTTTATGTTTTCAGTTTTCTGCAATCGGTTTTAAATTATGTTTATTGTGTTTCCTTATATTTCATACCTAGACAAACACTATTCCTAGTGTGTAGCCTTGCATTAGCGCTAGTGCGCCCCGGGGCCCAGTGGCCTTAAGCGTTAACTGTAACTCAAACAACCATATGTGCTCATATGATTACCTTAGGGTAAACCTGCGATACCACCATGATCTCAGTTTTGTTCCCTGAATCATAACTCACTCCAGCTATACATGCTTTTCATTAAATTGGCTGCAAGATTTAATAACTGAGCACACTGTTTTACTCAATCCTATTAGTTCCTACAGTTATTGAATATTCTATTGACTGTGGTGCATATAATATGTAAGAGTTTTAATAATATGGTGACCGCTCAAATCTGCACCGTGCTCTTAATGTCTTTAGTATATAACAAAAATGTACTGTCTTATATGTACACTTCATCTGTCTGACAGACCAACTACTGGCTATTTACTCATTGTATATTGTATGACATACGTTGTTCCCATGCACAACAAAAAAATAAAGAATTTAAAAAATAAACAAAAAAATACCCCAAAACATCATAAAAACATAAAATAACCCAAATAACACAAATGATGCATCTTTAAATAGCCCTGATCTGATCGCCCAAGTTCTCCAAATAGCGCTCAGATCCATGCAGGGTAGGGAAAACGCCACTGCGTTAAAGTTTTGACCATCCGCACACGTAGTCCTATGCCCAAAACAGTTCCAGGGCGTTTGGTGCTTTGGCCGATCAACTTTTGGGAGCTCCTGCGGCCGCAATATGGGGTGCTCTGACTGGGCCTCTAATAGCGGTGGGTTCCCTTTAGTCTCAGGCACCTTCCCTCCAAAAAGGGATCTCCTGGCGGGTTGCAAAGTCGCTCAAAATCCCAGAACCAAGTTGTCCGGAAACAAACAGTCACCTCATACCGAAAACAGTTCTATAAGACTTGCAGCTAAGTTATGCTCGGGTGACCGGGAACCCACGAAGTCCTCATGCCAATTTTAGTTCCATGATGATCACGGCTAAGTTCCGCTGAGGACAATCCGTGCATTTCTTAATGGGAAGGGCCGCCAGGGAGACATTGTTCGGTTCCATTCAAATTAAGTGAAAGTGCTGAAACAGGGGCACCCCGGGAAAGCTGTTAATGGTGGCTGGAGAGATTTAACTCCCAAACAGGGTCTTTGGATACGGCCCTTAGTCCTGGGGCAGGAGGCTAGCTAGAAGGCTCGCTGGATAGGCAGGTTTGCGACAATAACCGGTACCAATATTCTGAGAGTGGTGTACGAACAGGGGTGGACGATTTGTCCCTGATGCCACTTGCATTGTAGACGGGGCAGCTGACTCAGCACACACTATCTTCACTCTCACAAGCCTGGTATCCGGCATGGAGCATTAACACACTAATCTGCGGCAATGCTTTAACGGCCGGGGGGCTCGTGAGTGTTGGAGAGAGGAGTTAAATATAACATGCACTGGGCCTGCACCACTGCCCATATTATCAGCAGTATTGGGAGGTTCTGGTTATGTCACTCACGTCTGTAGCCCATGCTTTTACCCTGCCCACCGGAATTCTGCTTTACTGGAACTGCTGTTACGGGGTATGGATTTACTTGAAAGATGAAAGCGAGAGATGAGCATAGGGTATGTATTTTCTTATAGCTATACCCTGTGAGTTTCCCTCCAGCACCACCTCCACCAGATACACGATGCTTGGAAGGTATAACTGTTTGTGTTTTCTGTCAATAAGATTTTGTAATTAGGCTCATCATAACTGTCAGCACCAGGTCCAATGGGCTCTTAATCTGGCCTGGCATCATATGATAAAGTCATGCTTCACCTTTTGTCATATAAGTCCTAAATAACTAATGTAGCCACTCACATGTCCCCTAATAATTTAATTCAGAAAAAAACTCACAAATTAAACTTGGAAACTGATGGAAGCCATTATGCAATAGTTATTAGTTTGTTAAATAAGTTTGTTCATATCTAGGCATTAATGAAGCTATTTGAGAGTTCTAAAATTACACATAAACTTCTGTCCCTGACAAAATTCCAAACTGTAGGGAAAGGAAAATCCACTAATTAGTAATAACTAAACGTATTACATAGGTTATTGTGCAGGGAGGGCACATTTACTCATAATTGCAGCAATCAAGAAATAATCTGATGCCTTGAGATTGAACACAAAACTGTGAATTGGGCCATCAATAAACTGATGTATTTCTCAGTAGTTGGATTCATTAAATGTGATAAGTGGAAATTTTATTCAGCACTCTGCAACATATCCTGTAAAACCTTACGAGAAAAGCTCAGATCCCATAGACAAGAATGAGATAGTTCTGATTATTGGACTTTCTTGTCTGGGAGGAGACATTGGATGCTATAACTGTTTATGCTAGTGCAGCTGTGTCATAAAGTTTTGGTCTTTTTTTTTAATATATATTGTTCTGCATGTTAGAAATGCATTAAAACATTGAGTCTCTTCCATCATAGATTGATCTTTTACAAAACATAGTAAGAAAAAATGTCTCACCATATTTGTATGCTTGTTATCACCGATATTTTGTTAATCCAGCTCTGGATTTAAACAGTTCTTTGAATATGCAGGATAAAAAGATACAAATTCTCTGCAGTTTGCTAAAACGTCCTGGGTTTCCTTGCGTAGTAGAGCCTTCTGCAGGTTGCTTACGTCACTAGTCATTGTTGTACAGCACAAATGCAGTGATTTTAATAAACATCAAGTTGTCTATGCAATGTAACTATTATTTTTAATAGTTTGTATATAACAGTCTATTTATTTTGTTCATACGTAACAATTTAACATGTTGCAGTAAACAGAGATTACTACATGTATCAGTGTGAGTACAATAGTTACAGTGGTACAGTTCCATTTGTGTGTATTGTGAAATAAGCTTTCTGTCAAACATGGCATAACATAAAACTTAACAAAAATGATAAAGAAAATATAAAACGTTATACCCTGTCTTGCACACATCTACCATGCTGCCCCTAATCTGGGATCTGCTGCCCCTAGTTATTATTCACTGGAAGTATGTTAAAGGGAAAGGTAATACCCAAGTTCCTCTCCTTTCCTCTTACTTAGTTTGTCCATTAATTGCCAAATTTGTGTGTGTTTTCATGTCATGCTGCGGGAGACATATTACCTGCCTATTAGATGTGTCAATATTTGCTGAATTTATGCAAATCAATCAAATACTTTAAGGCTGTCAAGATTTTATTTAGTGCATAAAGGCTTATTTCATATGTCTATTCGGTATAGGTCGTTCAGAGCACAATTAGGTGTGAACAGTAGAGAAACTTGTTTGGTTTTCTTTGTTAATTCTTATGTTGCTTTCCACCCTCCTACTAGTCTAGGACAGCTCCACCATATACAGTCAGGTCCATAAATATTGGGACATCGACACAATTCTAATCTTTTTGACTCTATAGACCAACACAGTGGATTTGAAATGAAACAAACAAGATGTGCTTAAACTTTCAGCTTTAATTTGAGGGTATTTACATCTAAGACAGTCATAAATCAAACTTTCACTTTTTAATACATGGTTGCAAATCCTTTGCAGTCAATTACAGCCTGAACGCTGGGTTTCATCCCTGGTGATGCTCTGCCAGGCCTCTACTGCAACTGTCTTCAGTTCCTGCTTGTTCTTGGGGCATTTTCCCTTCAGTTTTGTCTTCATCAAGTGAAATGGATGCTCAATCGGATTCACGTCAGGTGATTGACTTGGCCATTGCATACCATTCCACTTCTTTCCCTTAAAAACTCTTTGGTTGCTTTTGCAGTATGCTTCAGGTCATTGTCCATCTGCACTGTGAAGCGCCGTCCAATGAGTTCTGAAGCATTTGGCTGAATATGAGCAGATAATATTGCCCAAAACACTTCAGAATTCATCCTGCTGCTTTTGTCAACAGTCACATCATCAATAAATACAAGAGAACCAGTTCCACTGGCAGCCATACATGCCCATGCCATGACACTACCACCACCATGTTTCACTGATGAGGTGGTATGCTTTGGATCATGAGCAGTTCCTTTCCTTCTCATACTCTTCTCTTCCCATCATTCTGGTACAAGTTGATCTTGGTCTCATCTGTCCATAGGATGTTGTTCCAGAACTGTGAAGGGTTTTTTAGATGTTGTTTGGCAAACTCTAATCTGGCCTTCCTGTTTTTGAGGCTCACCAATTGTTTACATCTTGTGGTGAACCCTCTGTATTCACTCTGGTGAAGTCCTCTCTTGATTGTTGACTTTGACACACATACACCTACCTCCTGGAGAGTGTTCTTGATCTGGCCAACTGTTGTGAAGGGTGTTTTCTTCACCAGGGAAATAATTCTTCGGTCATCCACCACAGTTTTTTTCCGTGGTCTTCCGGGTCTTTTGGTGTTGCTGAGCTCACCGGCACGTTCTTTCTTTTTAAGGATGTTCCAAACAGTTGATTTGGACACACCAAATGTTTTTGCTATCTCTCTGATGGGTTTGTTTTGTTTTTTTTCAGTCTAATGATGGCTTGCTTCACTGATAGTGACAGCTCTTTGGGTCTCATATTGATAGTTGACAGCAACAGATTCCAAATGCAAATAGCACACTTGAAATTAACTCTTGACATTTTATCTGCTCCTTGTAAATGGGATAATGAGGGAATAACACACACATGGCCATGGAACAGCTGAGCAGCCAACTGTCCCATTACTTTTGGTCCCTTGAAAAGTGGGAGGCACGGGGCGTGGCCGGACGCCGAATGAAGCTGGCAGCACACTGAAAGAGCTCCGCAGCTAAGGGCTCCTAAACGCGGCTAAAACCCACTATTACTGGCTCGCACCCGACTCCCCGACCCGGGTCACGATGTCCCAACACCGCGCAAAGAAATGTGTGGACACGAAGGACAAGGCAGCCTTCTTTGCAGCCCGAACTCCACACCTCAAGCAGGCTGAAATACAGGCCCAAGATGGCGCCGAGGCTGAACTCCACGCGGACTTTGCCGACACACACGAGGCAAGCGCGGACACCCCGCTGACCCCGAATTTACTACAAAAGATGTTAGACGCAGCGGTCCTGAAAATGCAGGCATCATTCACATCGGCCCTGGCTAAAATTAATAACGAGATCACCGACCTGGACGCACGAGCCTCCCAACTAGAGGAAAAAATGGAAGTAAATGCCACAGCCCATGCAGCTATCGAAGACAGACTAGAGGATATCGAAAGGAAACTGTCTCTGCATGAAACCAAAATCACAGATGCAGAAGACAGGTCTCGCCGCAACAATATCAGGCTCAGAGGGGTCCCAGAAGATGTGGAAGCCCAGGACCTAACGGCCTTCACCATGGAGCTGTTCCGTGCGGTCCTGCCAGACATACCCGCAGACATGCTCTTACTAGACCGCATCCACAGAATCCCGAGACCGCAACACTTACCACCAACCGTGCCACGAGACGTGCTCATGCGGCTCCACTATTACCACACAAAAGACCAAATCCTCCGTGCACATAGAACTAGGAAAGACCTACCTGATAAATTTAAACCTATCCTCCTCTTTACGGACCTGTCGGCGGAGACACTCAGGCGGAGAAGATCCTTCAAACCAGTAGCAGAGGCTCTAAGACACCACCGCATTCCCTACAGATGGGGCTACCCAGCGAAACTCCTCATCACCAAAGGAGGGAAGCAACTCATAGTCGCCTCACCGAAAGAAGGCCTGGAGCTGCTGCACAAATGGGACATAGCCCCAAATCTACAAACACCAGGCCCGCGCAAGACACAGAATATCGACGGCCGCCCTCAGCGACAACGGCGAACTACCTTCAGGGACGATGACCACTAGCCATACCTGGAATAGCAAGTGTTTTCTACTTTCTTTAAAACCTAAAACATGTTTAGCTATAGATTGATGTTAAAAATAATTGCTGACTAGAATAACCACATCCCAAAAGGGTTGACAAATTGCAGGCGACCTCTAATTACTGTAAAACATATACAAAAAAAAAAAAAAAAAGTTTTTCCTTATATATTGCAGGAACAGAGCAAGATAAAAACTAAGCGACAAGACTAATGATCCACAGGATCAGCCACATTTAACCTCCCCGTGGCATTTGACTTAAGACGACCCCTAGAGACCACGTATGTAGTCCATAATGTATGGGCTTTCGTGCACCGATTAAAGGCTTTAGAGGCCTGCTGACGCCCCAATGTTAATCTCCTAACGCCTACTCCCTCTCTATTTCCTTAGAGAGCCCTCCCGAGTATATGATTGTATTAGACTACATGCGATTCAGCTTGCTGGATCACCATGTAAAATTAAGTGGTGTCAATCTCTCATAGCCCACCTTTGCCAGAATGGAGGAAGCGATGTAACAACTGCAACCTGTATATATGTTTGATTATGTTTTACTGTTTCCATGCACCTGTCCGACGCACCCAGAGCGCGCCTAGACACACTCAAAAAGGCCACAACTACTCCCACAGCAACCCTAATGGCGGGGACAAAACCACCAAAATGTTAGCAAAGTACCGCCCCCCACCCCGACAGATAGACCACCATGCCGATACGACATGCAGATTAGAGGGCCCTATGGGCAAAACCCCCCCGGGTTGCCCACTACGACTCAAGCCATATGCGCCACCCTATATGTCTGTACCGGGGCGTTCACCCAACAACCCCCACTCTGCAGCGGCAACCTAAGACAGGGCGAGAACCAAGCGCACCCATACACTTGCTAAACTAACATATTTACGGGTGGGGCCTGCACAAGATAGGCCCTAGTTAGCTGTCAGCTGTATTCGACCCGACTACACTACCCCCGCTTGAGAAGTGCCATACCGGCACATACCCCCGAAAGTACCCTTTGTACATTCAATTTTTTTTGTAAAGTTTACTGTTTAACTATACACCCCCAGGTATTAATACCCTACCCCTACTGTTAGCCCCCACCCCTGGTACCGACACCCAACCCAACCTAGACCTCACAAATTATACGAAAGGGTCTTCCTGAGATACAAAAAAAGCACCGACCCCCAACTCAGAACCTACATCTCTGCACCAACCCAAGTGACCTACCACTGATCACGACAATGAAAATATATACCCATAATGTGAGAGGCCTAAACGCGCCCCATAAGAGATACAATCTCCTCAAAGAGATCCGAACTTCACAAGCAGACATCATATGCCTGCAAGAAACCCACTTCAAACATGGCTCTAAACCCATCCTTGGGCTTAAACATTTTCCCTACCAATACCATGCCACGTCCCCATCTAAAAGCAGGGGAGTGTCGATCATGGTGAGCCACACCTTGGCCTTTGACCTAGTAACAACCCAGATAGATCCGCAAGGAAGGTATATCATTCTCATCTGCACGCTAAACAACAACACATACACAATAGTTAACTCCTACTTCCCAAACGAGAACCAACCCCAATATATGACCACGCTACTAGATAAGATCGAGAAAATTCAGATGGGCACCCTAGTCCTCTGTGGGGACTTTAACCATATCCTCGACCCTGTTGCAGACTCCACAGCCACACACACACACAAGAGGAAAAAGGCTCTACGCAAACACTGCATCTCCCTGCACAAAACACTAGCATCATATGGGCTTTACGACGCTTGGAGAACCCTCCACCCAATGGATAGGGAATACACCCATCACTCACAGGTGCACAACACTTATTCCCGCATAGACGGCTACCTAATGCACAGCTCACAACTACAACAGATCAAATCCTGTGAGATAGACGCCTCTACAATCTCAGACCACAACCCAGTGTGTCTCACCCTAGCCGATTCCTACCAATACCAACATCGCAGCCCCTGGAGGCTGAACGAACACTTGCTAAGTGACGCAGACTTTACCAACAAAATACGAGAAGAAATACAACAATACTTTCAAACCAATGGCAACGGCGAGATCAACCCCGCCACACTGTGGCTCGCACACAAACCGGTCATCAGAGGGCTATTACTCAGCCGAGCGTCCTACCTCAAGAAAACAACACATACTGCATTGCTGAACCTTCTCAAACGGATCCAAGACCTCCATAGAGAAAACCAACTGCACCCCTCCAAAACTCTCCAACAGAAATTGCAAACAGCGCAAGACGAAGTTAAAGCAATTCTTCTCAAGAAAGCCAACATAGCATTAAAAAAACTCAAAGCAACTTCCTACTCAATGGGAAACAAAGCAACGAAAGTATTGGCACAGCGACTCCGGATGAAGCAGGCACAAGCCCGCATCCCATTCATAAACTCACACACCGGGACTAAGATAATACAACCCGCACAAATCTGCAATGAGTTCGCACATTATTACACCACCTTATACAACCTGAAAGATCAGCACTCCCTGGCCCAACCTACATCCACATCAATTCGCAACTACCTGGCACAGATTGCCCTCCCCAAACTCCTTGAACAGCACGCAGCACAACTATCAGCACCAATCACCACAGACGAAGTGCTCACCCTGATAGACAAAATGCCGAAAAATAAAGCCCCAGGCCCGGACGGCTACACTAACGCTTATTACATGGCCTTCAAGGCAGAAATTGCCCCAGACCTCACACGCTTCTTCAATGAAGCCACCCGACTGGGTACCTTCCCCACCGAGTTCTTAGCGGCACATGTTATCACTATCCCCAAACCGGGGAAACCCGCGACCACATGCCAAAACTTCAGGCCAATCTCTCTCCTGAATGCAGACGCAAAGCTATATGCCAAAATCTACGCAGAACGACTCAAGTCCATACTACCAACTCTAATTCATACAGACCAGGTGGGATTCGTAGCAGGAAGGCAAGGGTCGGATAACACCAGGAAAGTACTAGACATATACAACATATTAAAAAACACCAAACAAACGAGCGTCATGCTATCCCTAGATGCCGAGAAGGCGTTCGATCGCCTGAACTGGCAATTCCTCCAGGAAACCCTACAAGCCTATGGATTCCCAGCACCCTTCCTCTCTGCAGTCAGTGCCCTATACAGTGATCCCAGGGCGACGGTACTCACCTCAGGATTTAGTTCACAGGCCTTCCCCATTACCAACGGAACCAGACAAGGTTGCCCACTGTCCCCTCTCCTTTATGTGTTAGCCTTAGAACCCCTGGCAATAGCAATTCGATCCAACGATTCCATCCGAGGGGTACTAGTGGGCCAAACAGAATATAAACTAAGCCTATTTGCCGATGACATTCTTCTCACACTCACACAACCACTCATAACACTCCCCTCCCTACACAAAGAAATACATGCATACAGTCAACAATCTTATTACAAGCTCAACGTGGCTAAGACACAGGCAATGTGCCTCAACACACTAAAACACATAGAAACACTCCTGAGATCCGGCCATTGCTTTGATTGGAGAGAAGACTACTTGGTGTACCTAGGGATCAAGATAACTCACAGAGAAAAAGAACTATTCCCTACCAACTACGTAAAGCTGCACAAAGATATAGACACCCAGCTGCAAACATGGAGGGGCCTGTACCTATCGTGGGTCGGAAGAATAGCAGCACTGAAAATGACAATTCTACCTAAAATTCTCTACCTCTTCCGGACACTACAAATCAAGATCCCACAAAGCTACCTCACAAAATTACAGGCTACCCTCCTCAGATTCAGCTGGGACGGCAAACACCCCCGAGTCCCCAAATCACTTCTGTTGAGAAATACGAAACATGGAGGCATGGGCCTCCCTAATCTCAAAGCGTATTATCACTCAGCCATCCTGGCGAATGTAGTTAGTGTTCACTCGGCCAAGTACATCCCCCAATGGGTAGAGGTAGAGAATATGCACAATAAGAACCAGGACCTGCCTACAATGCTCTGGATACCCCGGCACCTGCGACAGCAACCTACAACCATGCTGAACACCACCAAACACCTCCTCACAATATGGGACACCTACAGGGACCAACTGTGCTCCGCACACCCGTGGGCCCTGGCAACTCCAATTCGGACCCTGTACCAATGCAATGGCCTGTTTCCACATCATAAATGGGCAGAAAAAGGAATTACACATGTCTACCAACTGTGCACCAAGGCAGGTCTTAAACCGTTTCCAGACCTGCAGAAAGAATTTGCCCTCCCTCCAAGCTACACATTTGCTTATCTACAAATCAAAGCGCTAATAACCCACAACGTAATCAAAGACATGGAACACTCACTGAGATCGTCCATAACGAAATTTGAAGCACAATGCCTCTCCCTAGACCCTCCAAAGAAAACAGTTTCCATCTGTTACGACCACCTTGCCAACCCTAAAAACAGCGACACATGGAAGTTTATGCAGGATTGGCAGACAGACCTCCAGGTGACAATACCCCCAAACGAATGGGAAAAGATTTTCACTTCTCATATAGGGCTCACAACAAGTACTGCACACCTGGAAGCATCCAGGAAAATCCTATACCGATGGTACATGGTACCGACCCGTCTGCACACCATATTTCCCAACACTTCAGACCTATGCTGGCGTTGCCATGCAACTAAAGGAACTATGATGCATATGTGGTGGACATGCGATAGTGTGCAAGATCTTTGGAAAGCTACAGTCCGACTTGTAAGAAGTGTCACGAATCTCCACTTAGCTCTCGACCCTAAAACAATCCTGCTCCGATTGCTCCCAGACGACTTTCCAAAACCGATCAAGAAATTGATATACATCATACTGGGCACGGTGTCCATACTAATAGCCAGGAAATGGAAAACAACGGACTTGCCCTCCATCCGAGAAGTTGTAACAGAAGTAACACAAGCAATGGAGTACGAACTCATCGTGTGGAAGCAGGCAAAAATCGGGAAACTGAGCCCCTACACCGCCACAATATGGCGAAACTACACACAACAGTTCACACAACACCAACATAGTCATTAACGAGCCCGCAAAGAGGCCACAACACTGGCTACCGAAACGACACCACCCTTTAAACCAACACCGACCACCCTACACACTTACCAACCCACCCTGTGACATAGAGGTCACGATCCTAGGACCCACCAACAGCCACAAACCGGTACCACGCTGCTACTCCCCTCCACCTGTTACTCGCCCCCAATTCACGGGGACCCCCCACTCTCACCTTACACCCTCGACACACCGCAGGCACCCTGCCCACAACGACACCCTTCCCCCCTGGAGACAAGGGACCTCGAACAACAACGAAATAAACCATACTCGCAAAACTTAGTATAACGACAATTCACGCACTAAATGAGCGAACTCCCCATCCGACAGAGACCCCCCCCATGAGCATCATCTACTGTAACACCATGACATCAGGGTAATACTAAGTAAGGAAGGCCAAAGTGTCAGGGAGCTACCCCCTTCCTCCTATTTGTTCCCCCCCCTTAATTACAAATGTATATCGAAAAATGTATAGCAATTGTACGACCCCACTATGTACATTTGAAGTTTCCCCTTCTTTTCTGTACCCCATTTCCTTGTCTTTATGAAAATAAAAAATTTCAAATTGGAAAAGTGGGAGGCACATATACAAACTGTTGTAATTCTTACACCGTTCACCTGATTTGGATGTAAATACCCTCAAATTAAAGATGAAAGTCTGCAGTTAAAGCACATCTTGTTCATTTCAAATCCACTGTGGTGGTGTATAGAGCCAAAAAGATTAAAATTGTGTCGATGTCCCAATATTTATGGACCTGACTGTATGAAGATAGAGACCTTCCTGACCACATCCCCTCATACATATGGCTCAGTTTAACTGGGGTTAACTGCCACCTAAACAGCACTTTTAAAGTAATTCAGAGTGATTGCTACTCCTAGTAATCCATTTGGTGCTTAGGTGTATTTGATACCTTTCAGCATCGTTCAACGTATTACTCAGTACCCTTTCTCAGTTTGCCTTGAAACTTGATTGGCAGTTAAAGTTGCAGTTTTGGATGGTCGTGACAGTTGAAGACTGGACCCTTAGATGTCTGGGGTGTGTAACAATCCATTCTCAAGGGGTAAATGTAGTTAATGAGAATTTGTCCTTTAAAGGAAGAGTTGTGAATAAGTATCTGATTTTTTTTTTTTATTAAATCTAAAATTACTGTTTAGGCAGCCCAAATCTCTAGGGCAGGTCTGAAATGGAGACGTAGTCTCATCTCTGATATAACATTCCCACAGTGCCATGTCATTATGTATTTCACCAGTTGATGTCATACCTTAAGAGTGTATCTAGTGGTGTGAAATAAGGGTTTATCTAGTGTATTTGACTTGTCCATCCATAGCTTATGGGTTATACATCCAGGAGCTACTACTGCATCCTCTATGCCTAACCATTGTTTTGTAGGTTGATTAGAACAAAATAGAAGTGGTTGTGGATAAATTGTTGCTATATGATAGTGAACCAGATGGGGGACGCCCATGTCGCCTCTCTGCCTATGTCGATATAATGTTTTTCTATAGTTGTTGATAAAAGCAATTATTTCTTTTTGAATGGTTAATAGGTTGGCTATAAGAAGGGTAGAGGGATAGTACAAAATAAATATAAAAACTTGGCCTGTAGTATAATTTTTATAGAGACACCAAGAAACTTAATAGTTTCACCATCTAACTAGATCTTGTTTGGCAATCTGTGAGAGATTGGTCTGCATTATTTTATTTCTCAACATAATGAAATACCAAAAAAGTCTTATCTGACCAGATTTTTAATCACATGGATATAGCCCTTTGGAGCAGAGAATGTTTCTGGAGGTAGATGTGTACTCATAACTTAAGATTTTAAAGTATTCACTTTGTGGTATGACCCCTTGCTGTATTGTCAGGGAGATGTCTGCATACATAGCAATTTTCTGAGGTGACATTTTCTATATGGATGGATTGGATGTCTAATCTTTGTCTGATGTAAGAGGCTAGGGGTTCAAGAGACAATACATATAGGAGAGGTGACATGGGACATCCCTGCCTTGTTGCGTTACCTATAAGGAAACTAGAGGACAGACAATCCACCAACAAGACTCTTGCAGTTTGAGCAGACTATAAATGCATCATTGCACTTTGGAATTTGGTAGGGAAAGCAAATATTTCCACAATCCTCCTCACATTCCCCCAGTGCAAAGGCCTACTCCATGTCTAGAAGAGATTGGTGTTAGATTGGCACATTTAACTGGGGAGTTAAGAATCTTAAAGGGACACTCCAGTGCCAGGAAAACAATCAGTTTTCCTGGCACTGCAGGTCCCCTCTCCCTCCCACCACCCATCCCCAGTTGCTGAAGGGGTGAAAACCCCTTCAGTCACTTACCTGAGAACCCCGCCGCCGCTCATCCCCTTTCTTGCGCTAGCCGGTGGGCCTTTATGCAAAAAGGTATCCATCTCACAGATGGTTGGTTAGTGGCTCTCTTGACAGTCTTTCGAAATTTAAATGAACATTTAAAGCCTATTTGCTAGCTTTTGTCTCACGCAATTACTTTGGGAATACAATTTCACCCTAAGCCTCCATAGTATATATTCCGCTTTCTTAACTGCAGTCTCTAGAACTAGAATGTTAAACTCACAGGCCAACACAGGCCACATAAACAAGGTTTAAGATTCTGTGGGCTGCAAAAAAAAACTTACAGTAAACAGTATAAGTACAGTATAAAAAAAAAGCACCCTCCTCTACTAAACTCAAGCCCCCTCTACTAAATCCCAGTCCCCATCCCCAGACTTTCAGCTGTTTGCAATGAACAAATCAAAGAAAAGCAATTGAAGTAGCTCAACACAACAAATGCTTCAAGAGGTTTCCCCTAATTTAACCCCTTAAAACCGGAGGACGTACAATTACGCCCTCTAATAGGCGGCTCTAAACGCCGCCGGGCGTAATTGTACGCCCTCCGGTTTTTGTTAACTTACCCGGTCGCCGGCGGTCCCACGCCGGCGATCGCGGTTGGGGGGACTCCCAGGGAGCCCCCCGCGGCACATCCGTCCTCGTCGAAGCCCCCCGGCCATGTGAGAGTGGGGTCCTAGCGAGGACCCCACAATCACATGGCCGGGGATAGCTGGCTTCTGTATTGCCGGCAGGGGGGCTGCCTGTAATGACAGGTGGTCCCCCTGCTGGCTGAAAATAAAAATAAAAAAAGTTAATGGTGTAAAAAAAAATAATTATATATACTTAGATCATATATATATATTATATATATATGATCTAAGTATATATATACACATATACATACACACACATACACCGTCTAGGTGTATTTTACTATTAATATATATATAATTATATATATATATTAATATCAAATTACACGTAGACTGATACTGATTAAATATATATATAATTATTGTTATATATATATTTATATATAATATAAAAAAAATAAAAATGTAAATACGTTAAAAAATAAAATTAAAAAAATAATTAAAAATAAATAATTAAAAAATATATAGATGTGTGTTATTTCGTTCTAACTGTTTTGTGAAATTAATATATATATATATATATCAAAATACACGTAGAACGAAATAATATATATATCTATATACATAAATATATACGTATATATCACTATATATATACCTATATATAAATAAAAATATTTTTAAAAAATTATATAGATATATACATATATATACACATACGTATATATATACATATATTAATTCTACATATATATTTATGTAATATTTTTACATAATTAGGTATCTTAATTAATTACAATTAGCGGGACCTGCCTGACAACCCATGCCGAAAGTAAAGGGAATTTAATTTGCTAGCACTATATTTAACCCTATAACTTTCCAAGACACCATAAAACCTGTACATGGGGGGTACTGTTCTACTCGGGAGACTTCGCTGAACACAAATATTAGTGTTTCAAAACAGTAAAATGTATTACAACGATGATATTGCCAGTAAAAGTGACGTTTTTTGCATTTTTCACGCACAAACAGCATTACACGGACAATATTATTGCTGTGATACTTTTTACTGTTTTGAAACACAAATATTTGTGTTCAGCGAAGTCTCCCGAGTACAACAGTACCCCTCATGTACAGGTTTTATGGTGTTTTCAAAAGTTACAGCGTCAAATATAAGGCTTGCATTTCAGTTTTTTCACATTAAAATTCTGCCAGATTGGTTATGTTGCCTTCGAGACCCTATGGTAGCCCAAGAATGAAAATTACCCCTATGATGGCATACCATTTGCAATAGTAGACAACCCAAGGTATTGCAAACGGGGTATGTCCAGTCTTTTTTAGTAGCCACTTAGTCACAAACACTGGCCAAAATTGGCATTTTTGCATTTTTCACACAAACAAATACTAACGCTAACTTTGGCCAGTGTTTGTGACCAAATGGCTACTAAAAGACTGGACATACCCCATTTGCAATACCTTGGGTTCTACTATTGCAAATGGTATGCCATTATGGGTGTAAATTTCATTCGGCTACTATACAGTCTCAAAGGCAGCGTAATATCTAATCAATTTCAAATGTAACGTGCTATATTTGACCCTGTAACTTCCCAAAACGCCATAAAACCTGTACATAGGGGGTACTGTCTTACACGTGAGACTTTACTGAATATAAATATGTGTATTTTATTGCAGTAAAAGCAAACAGTATTATGACATTGACCGTTAAAATGTCACGTAGAACTAAAAAAATCCCCAAAAAACGTATTTTCTCCCATTTTTTTCATATTAAATTATGTTTCATAGCTAAATATTTGATATTAAATGAAAGCCCTGTTTCCCCTGAATAAAATGATATATAATAAGGGTGGGTGCATTTACTATGAAAGAGGTGAATTACGGTTGGACAGACATGTAGCGCAAATGCCAGGTTTTGTTTACATTTTGTTTTGTTCACAATGTGTACATTTGGCTCCGTCCTTAAGGGGTTAACTGAAAATGCAACTTATGATTACTTCTCCAGTCTCAAAATTATTCAACCCCCTGAACAGAATCCCTCACAACAACACAAATATACAAAACAGATATTGTCTCAAGCACAAAACAAGGACTTTATTAGATGCACCAGGTGTGCTTTAGCTGGAACACTTGAAATACCTGAACTGGCTAGGAGTTTGCTGAGTGTCACGTTTGACTGCATGTTAGAAATATGGCTAACTCAAAAGAATGGTCCACCAAGTTAAAGGACCACTATAGTGCCAGGAAAACATACTCATTTTCCTGGCACTATAGTGCCCTGAGGGTGCCCCCACCCTCAGGGACCCCCTCCCGCCCAGCTCTGGAAGGGGGAAAGGGGTAAAAACTTACCTTTTTCCAGCGCCGGGAGGGGAGCTCTTCGCCTCCAATCCTCCTCCGTTCCTCCCCGCCGGCTGAATGCGCACGCGCGGCAAGAGCTGCGCGCGCATTCAGCCGGTCGCATAGGAAAGCATTATCAATGCTTTCCTATGTACGCTTGCGTGCTCTCACTGTGATTTTCACAGTGAGAATCACGCAAGCGCCTCTAGCGGCTGTCATTGAGACAGCCACTAGAG